CTGTTATCTTATATGTAATTGGTTCATCCATAAATTATAGTCTCGCCTAATGGTTACTTAGATATTAACAAACGAACTATCGTTGCCTGACTTATTTAACCAGAATTCTACATTAAAATGTAGAATCTAACTAAGTGAATTAAAAAATAAATAAATAAAAATTTTGTTCAATTAAATCTTGGCATAAAAAGGAATAATATTTCAGAAACATTAGTTGAATGATGCATATTTTCAGAAGGGGCTTTGTGGAGATTTTAAAAATTTCACTGATTGAAATCATGAGTCAATTGAAGCAAGACCACCATGGAAAACCTAGAAGCACTGGACGGCCGTTCCGTCCTAGCATGAAACTCCGGAACGGTGCGCATCCACGATTCCGCACCCCGCGCGATTTGAACCCAAGACCTATCAGTCTCGCGCCAGGCGCTTAACTAACTAAACCACTGAGCGGGCTAGCATCCCACTCTGTTAATGTCTAACTTCAACCAATCCAGAAAGTTGCGCCACCGTACACCATTTTCTTCAGTGAGTTGATATCTCACAACAAACTTAACTGACCTCCACTTGTGACGGGTTCTCACTAGAACTCCATTGGTATCTCTTGGAGTCAGGTCCTGGGTTCAGATCTCGCGGGGTGCGGGATCGTGGGTGCGCACTGCTTAGGAGTCCCATACTTGAACGAAACGGTCGTCCAGTGCTTCCAGGTTTTCCACGGTGGTCTAGCTTCAATTGACTCATGACTTAAATCAGTGATGCATATTTTGTTGACTTAGTTACAAATGAGAAAAAAGACTCAATATGAGACAGTTAATCTTTAAATATTATTGTGTTAGAATTTTTCTTAAAATTATCTAATATTGACTAGGGATTAATTAGATTGTATTCTTTTAATTATCTATTTATGAAGTTAAGTTTTATCATGAGTTGATATCTTTTTGAGAAGTGTTAGGTGGGAAGAACCCCCATTACTGCTCACTCACAACCTTTTATGTAATCAAACAATATACATTTTAGTCTTCCGGCAATATGATATCTTACAACTATTGATTTTGGAATAAATGAAAACGTTTTTCACTCAAGGTAGCTTGTTATATAACTGAATCACCATGTAGTATCATCATTACCAAATAGTTTCATGTGTGACTTTATTAATTAACTTCATGTTTTCGCACTAAAAGCCACATACAAGTGACAGCAGAATTGTAACATAATCAAGTTATTTGTAGAGGTATTTCTATATTATGGGAGATGTGTCATAATATGACTGATGCTCAAGCTTTACATCACTGATTTCTAGTTCAGTTATAAAATGTTTAAGTGTGACATACAAAAGTCATGGATGTTACCTTATCTAGAGTTTTGTTTTTGGACTACCGGGGGGTGCTGTGACAAAAAATACAGTTATCAAGTTCTATTTTGTATTATATCACTAATATGAATAAAACATAACATATACTTAAAGGTAAATAAACTAATCTAGCTTAAGCGTTTATCACTGCTTTTTTACAATATATTTCTGCTTGAACATATCGCTACCGTCCAAATCTCTAGTCTTTTCGATATACATTTATTATTTATTTATTTATTTCAAAACATAAACATAGGTACGAGAAGGGACCAAATAGATATGCGGCACATAAATCATTCGATTTGTGTGAGGGCTAGGATACTGACCGGGTGCTCGAACCGAAGCAGATGGTTTTCTTAAAGGGCCACACCCGGAGCCTTCGTCCCAAAGGTCTGATCCACAAGGCAGTGGAGCATCGTAAGGAGATGCGGTCCCATGGTAGCCGGTGACAAGCGATTGGTTCATACGCCATTTGTTCCTTCTGGATGCTGGAGCTTCATTGGTTTGGAATCAGGGTTTTCCAACTCCCACATGTAGATCTTCCGTATCCACTAACCCTGTTAAAGCGCCGGACATTCGCTTTTTGTCCTCTCAGTTTCGTAAACGAAAGTAATTCCGCGAGAAGGTTGTGAGTAGAACTTCTCTGGCAGTGAGTGTATGCACGTGGCTGAATGAGACTGTTTCGAGAGAGCAAGAGAGAGAGAGAGAGAGCTGATTCTTCCCGCTTTCGTACGTACCAAGGCATTTGAGGGCTTCTATATTCATATCTTTTAATGTGACAATAATTCAAAGAAAATAAAACAGCTTTTCAATAAATTTATACACATTACTGCAGATAATGATTTAATTTGTTAGATTTATGAATATATTAATATCTATTTTTTTTTCAGTAGTTTTGAGTAGTTTATCTCTTAAAACTAACATAAATCAAATTGTTTCAGAAAAAAAAGTGTTTGATCTAATTTGTAAAATACTTAACAATATTCAGTTTGTTTAGAGCAATTATTAGATAAATCTTTTCTTTATTTGAGAATATGATAGTAATTTGCATTCTAGACGATTAGAGTGAATGATCAATAGGATTTTCTTATATCTATACAATTAGACAGGTTATGAGTGATTAAAGCTTATATAATGAATTCAATAGTCTGTCTTGTCTTGTTTTCAATCATAATCTTGTTATAATGAAGAATGTCAGTTTGTGAATATGAGAAGTTATTCGGTTAAGAACTAACTTGTTAGAAAGCATCTTTTTGTTGTACAATTTTCCATACTGAATATTCTTTACGATCATAGCATGTTAATAGAGATGAAATGTGATTATTTCAAATGGTGAGATATGTGTTTGAGGTTATACAAAAAAATGGTTTCTTTCAAAGAATTCAGAGGAAATACAAGAAAATAATATGTGATATATATATATATATATATATATATATATATATATATATATATATATATATATATAGTGTCATCTGATGATGACTTTGTTACCCACGATAAGATTTATTAGCTCAAACTGGAACATGAAAAAAAACAATGTCAGTGAAACAATCATCATCAAAATTATGTTACTGATTGATTCAGTTATATATGATAATTGATTACGCTATACGATATGAATTAAACACAATAGTCTATAGATAATTGATTTAATAAACATATAATCATCAACTTAAATTATAGTTCTTCATTATTTTCAAGTCAGTAGTATTGCGTAGGTCGTTTATTAATTTAAAAAAAATATTAACAGTGACATAGTGGTAATTCTAAGTAGATTTACGTTGAAAATAGTGAACTGGTGTCAAGAAGACAAATGGTAAAATGTGAAATATAATCTGAAATTAATATGTGAACAATTGCTTTTTACTACTTTCATATTATTTACAACATGAACATGTTATACATTTACTTGGTATTGTTTATTTGAATCTACCCATTGATGTGTAGGATTGAAATTGATCAGTCTCTTATTGGCATATGTGCTTACTGTGAGTATCGCCACGATATTGCCTTAATACACAAGCATTTTAAGCGAAGATGGATTGTGGCTAGTGGTGAAATACAATTTCGGTCTATAGGGACTCGTCAGCTGAATGTAACTGCATCTCAGAATTAATGTTCACTCGGGGACTCTAACCCACTATTGTCCGCATCAAACGCCATCACGTTATCCACTTAGCTACTGAGTTCTGATAATCACTTGCTTGTAAAATAGAGTAAATTTAAATTTACTTGGTACTGTTTGCTTGAGTCCTCCCATCGTAGCTTATAAAGCTTGTGAAGTAAGGCAATATCGAGGCGACACGCACAGTATGTACATATGCCTATAACAGACTAATCAATTGCAGTTTTAAACCTCAATGGGAAGATTCAAGTAAATAATACAATAATTCATTTAGACTGTACAGTGTTTTCAGAAAATTAAATACTTATTTACAAAATCATAATAATTTTATTTGAATGTGTGATGTAGCATGGCATTGACATTAAAGTTTTCTGTTTCATCTTGTCCTATATATCTCATATGTCTTGAAGAATAGTGTGAATAATTTCGAATTTGAGGATTCATATTAATATATTTGTTGGATTTAGGTGTATGTGTAACCTTTATATGTGACAATCTGTAAAACAGTTTCTTTCGAATTATGAATACAGTGGTCTTGAGTGCTGTTAGAGGTATGAGGGCGATAATCACTTCCAGGTTGCCCACATCGTGGAAAGGCTCTTCTGGAAGTACCTGAAAAGGAAATTGGATTAGAGGTGGTCTTAGTGACCTGAGAGCGTGAACGCATGCCAAAGGGAAAACTGCTTGAGGTCGATCACACACGACTTTTTTGTGCGTAATTTTCATATTAGCTCCGTACTTATTGATACCTTATCGCTGGAGAGGGATCTCCGTGGGATAAGGCGAGGTGTACATTTTTAGTTTCGACCTATTCTAAGCCCAACCCTCCTTGTGGGAAGGCAGCATCGCTCTCATGCTGGTTGTCTGAAGGAAGCATCTTACTGCTGTCTCACCTCTGCACAGTCAGCAGTACGACTTCACCTTTGGATCTTGGATTTGCTGCTTGTAATCTTACCACTCCTCCACAGACCTGTCTGACATGGTAGGACCTTGAGGAACGGTTGTTCCAGCCAGCGTAACTCGATTGGTTCATTACGATAGGCAAGTAGGACCACCACATCAATTAAATATCCAAATAACAAATAAATGCTTGAAAATCCAGAGCTATAATTCGAAAAAAGGAACTGAGAACAAGTTCAAGTTTTCTAAATGGTTTCTTGACTTTATCTAATGTCTAATATCTATTCGTGTTTGGAGGTAGAATTTTGTGCATTATCTCACGATGATAACTATGCCTCTAAAAGTCACTAATAATAAAATTCCAATCATTAGGATTTCTAGGAGCTGAACAATAATTAGTTTTTATGTTATATTAGCTAAACGTCTTTGAAGTTTGAAACGAAAAATAAACTCAATGGAAACATTACTATTGAGTGATATCAATGTACTAGTTATCCTTGATAACCACTATTATAATCTAAATTTAATGTCATTGAGACTTGAATTAAATAAATCATGTAACAGTAATGAGAAATACTTAAAATCTAATCTTTTTTCAATGTTCATTCTTTAAAATTCTATTAGCCATACGGTGGAGCTCAATTAAAAATTGAATGGGATTATAACAATCCAGCATCGTTATTGGAGAATGGACAAATTTGTGATCGTGTTGGCGGGAAAGAATGTGATGTTTATTTCACATTATGTTTAAAAAATGCAGCATCATTTACAGATGAGTAAGTTAATCAACTTAAAATTTGTAAGTTATAGAATATATTCGTGTACAACTTAAGAATCAAGTTATGATTTCTTGAATACCAAATATCCTATTCGTTACATTGAAGATCAATCAAAATTATTTGAATAGTTCTTTTGGTAGCATTCAAGTTCACAATTGATATACATAGATTGATTAGCTCGGAAATTTGAACATTTCTAATCAAGCAAACTTGGTTAGTTGCTATACGATATAGTCTGCTGATGAGTTTGAAGAATTTAAAATTATTTGATATATAGTTCTTACTATTCACTTAGCTGGAAAAAGTAGAAAATAAGAAATGTAGTCGAATAGAATGAATTTAATCATTTGAATCATTCTTTCATGTGATTGTAATCTAAACCGCATTTATATATGCATGGGAAAATATGCAAATACCTACATCATTGTGATCTTCAATTTTAACTGATGAATCCGTCTCAATAAGATAAAGTTAATTTTTCTATCTTATTACTTTTTTACCATAAATATTTTACCATCGCTTCATGTTGTTAACAAGTAAGGCAATTCTTAAAATGAGTGAATTCATATTACATAGATAAAATGATTGTTTTCGCCTACATGTAATAGATATTAACCATCAAGATTTATTCTCTGAAGAAGTGACTTACACTAAGTCACGAAACGTCAGAAAATCCAATTTTCTACTCATTGGGATATTAAAAATATATTATTTTTATTTACATCAAGATCAAGTTTTTTTCTAGATTTCTGCTCGTACAATATCGTATCTAATGAATTGAATTTCAAACATTTCCATTCACCTTAAAAGGGTGAATTATTGAATACGGTGACATAATGAGTCAAACTTAAATAGTGGTAAATAATTCAGTGTATTTGGTAAATTCAGCAAACTTAATTTATAACATAAAGTTGTGGAGATTGTTGAATTTCATCGAAATCATGAACCGATCAATGTTACCCAGCCATTGAAAACCTGGAAGCAATGAATGGTCATTTCATCCTACTATAATACTCAGTAGTGTACATCCAAAATTAATATCAAGGACGTTTGGTCTAGTGCGAACGCTTAACCTCCAGACTACTGAGCTGGTATCTAACGGTATTATGCGATCGTCATCGATTGTGTTCAGTGGATAACTTTCTCAAACCTGACACAGTTGAATTCCACTGGTGACAGTTTCACACTAGAACTCCGAGAATTACCTCTCAAAGTTAATCACTAGTCATCAGAACATAATTTTAAGTAAGGAATTGTAAAGATTGTTGAATTTCAACAACATCATGAACCAATTTTATTTTCAATGAAACTTCAAAGAAACTTTTAAAGTTTTGACTCTCTATTAAAATGTTATAATTGATGTGAAATAGCTGTAATGAATGACATTTATATATATTAGATGCATCATAAATATAATCACTTAATAGCTTAACGTTTATTTATAATGAAAAAGATTGTTTGACATTATGAACTAAGTTGCCATTTTGTTTTTTTGTTTAAGTCGAATGTGACCTCCTTATTTGAATTTTTATTTTATCACACATTATTAAAATGAATATGCTCAATTTTAATTTTATCATCATAATAAAAGGTCAACATAATAATAATAATAATGATAACAATAATAGTAATACTACTACTGCTACTACTACTAATAATAATAATGGTAATGATAATAATGATAACTTCCTGAATTGAACTTTTGTTAAAATAGTAATTGACACTTCTCATATAATAAATATTAAATTCTCTATGGGATTCAATTGAAATGATAAAACTGTTTTAGAACAGTTTATTTTTAAAAAAAAATAATTAAAAGTATTTTTAAGGATAAGAGATGAATATGTTGTGTGAGCTACTTATACTAATATCTATATAAGTAGTATATTACGATAATCAGATATATAGTGTATTTCAATAGAAGATTGAAAAGGAAAGAACTGGAAATGGAAAGCAATTGATATGAAAATGCATGAACAATTAAATCTAAGACAATGGACTGATATTCACACAAGAAATAGTCTAGTTTGAGACAATGGATTGATATTTTGCAAATTAAGTATTTACTGTATTGTTTTCAGATTTTAGTAAGATGTTGTGTAGTTTCAGGATCAAATACATTCGGCTGCTTCCCCTTTGCGTTTTGTTGTTGCTTTTAATCATTCAATAAATCAGTTACGTGTAACCCGGTTTCGATTTTTGTACATTGTTATACATTTAAACTGGTCTTCATATTTTAATTGAATACTGAACGAGTTTTAAATACTTGATCACAAAACATTGTTGTAGTCTGTATTCGATATTATGCTTAAACTACCTAAAACTGATAACCGTCACTAGATAACGCCATCATTGTTTTATAGATCAGGATATGAATAGGAAGCGTTGCTAATGTTTATTATTGCACCATGCACAGCTCACCTAAAGCATAGGCATATAAAGTAAGAATGAAATGCTAGTGCTGAAGAGCAAGCGAGTAAATAAGCGAGCGAGTCGAATGAATAGGACTAAAATGTACATGTAGATATACATATATTTACTTACTTACGCCTGTTACTCCCTATGGAACATGGGCCACCGACTAGCATTCTCTAACCCACTCAGTCCTGGGCATTCCTTTCTAGTTCTATCCAATTGTTCATTCTTTTCTTGTCTGTCTCCATTTCTCGGCGTAATGTGTTCTTTGGTCTTCCTCTCCTACTTTGGCCTTGAGAATTTCAACTAGGTGTTTGTCTTGGGTGCTTTCCTCAATGATCATGCCTGTAAACAGGCGTGAATTCTGTTATTATTATTTTCGGAATATATTATATATATAATATTCTGAAAATAATAATTACTAGATTCACGCCAGTTTACAGGCATAATCAATTTGATATAAATAGTAACATTTGATGTAGAGAACAAACATGTGATATAAGATAAGTTTAAGTATGCTAGTTCAGTAATTGGTTCGGTAGTACATTTATTACAGCAATCCAATACCATCAACCTGGAACTTTTAATTCTTCATCAGTGATAAGCCTGTTGATTTATGAACGGTGTATTTAAGGTCATTTCGTGTGCCGGATCGAATTAATGATAATTATCTACAACAGAGAAAGAAAAACGAAAACAGAGAGCACGGAACAACAAAGCAGTAATTACCAAAATATATTAATCCGGTCTACCATAATGCATATGTTATGTGACTCAGTGATATATTGTTAATGTTAGATAATATTCTAATTAGTTAAGGTTGCTAGGGTCAGTGTTAACAGAGAGTAATAGAAAGGTAAGTGGTTTTACTAATAAGAATGGTTAAACATTTAATGCTCCTATAATGTCACTTGTGGAATAAGATAAACTTACAGGTGCTTGAACATTTAGTGCATCTTTAGAGGAGCAGTATGCATCAATGCAGCGAACAGATAATGGGAGTGATTTTATCGTACGGACAGATTGTGATAGATAATTCCAAAGTCTAGAAAAATTACAGGTAAAGTAATTCATAGAGAGAGATGATCTAGAATGAGGTTTTTACACTAGTGATAAGATGTTACAGATGTCGTAATGAGATATTTCTGCATATTGAATTACTTGATTGGATGTGGTAGTTTATCAAGTATTTTGAAGAAAAAGACAAGATATATACATAGGAAAATGAATGAATCATCGAATCATTTAGGGGATTAACACTCAAGTTAGAAGAATGAATAGGTGCGTAAGCAGTAGGCAATACTCATGCATACATATTCATACAAGTGCAACAATAATAATGGTACAATGATATAAATAGGTTTTTATTGTACGAATGACTCTGTCCGTTAAATGAGTTAAGAAAACAAAACATGACTAAAATTAAATGTGAATAAACTGAAATGTACGTGAGCTGCTATAACACCAAAGGTTTGAATAATTTTTTCTGGTTAGCACTTTTTAGCGAGTTAGTTTTCTACGGAATGGGGTCACTAACCCCATGCCCAACCCACCTCCTTTATCCGAGCTTGGGACCGGTAGTAGCCCCCGGAGGGACTCCATGCAGAGTTAGCTGCTATAACATATTATAGTGAAATCTTTACATTTGAATACATAGACGTCACAAATTAATCAATTCGAATTTCGAATGAAATATTAAATTAGAAGACTAATGATGGTTGTGTAATTTGAAATTAACTTTTATTACATACTAGTATCTGTCGTTAATTAGTGTTTATAACATAGGAATACCTGGACCCATACTATGTTAATTGTAAACATCACTTAAATATCAATTACACTTTTTTTCATAATTATACATACTATGTGGATAATGTGCTTCCAGGGGATAAAGTGTTTATTTCATTTACTTTTACTGATCACAAGCGAACATTTATTACCAAATAAGTGGGTTATATGACTGAGGTCACTGTAAACATATATATATATATATATATATATATATATATATATATACATATATATCCTTAAATACAGAAAAAGGTATGGGCTTTAAGAAACTGGGTTCGACTTTGAAAGCTTTTAACACTAATTATGTTTATTTATAATGATCAAAATGAAAAAACGTCAAATAACTCAAAACTGAATAGGAAAGCTGTTTTTAAGAGTTTCATATTAGAACTATCAATATACAGACTTAACTAAAGAAAAAAATTGGATTGAATATTATGCAAATGAGATGAGATGAACTATATTTTCAGATTTAGTGTGCAATATTGTATGATTTAAAAAAACCGTCTCAATACACTAATATCTATATTATACTTTATTCACATTGATCAATTGTCAGATTTGAATAAACTAAACTAAGTAACACTAGACATCTAATAATTTGATAACTTTAAATATTAATATAGTTTATTGTGTCAACAAATGTAACTAATTTAACGGTTACATAGATATTTTCCTATGCAATTTTTCAGCCTAAATTTTTAAAGCATCAACTATTACTTTAGAAGTGTTGTGTGTGCTACTGATGTTGACAGATATAAGTAGTATGTATCAGCAATCGAAAGTGGAAT